GTTACAATTTCACAATGTATTTGAGTAGCATAATGATATGAATATTTTTAAGTGAGAATACTGAGGTACAGAATGGTAAAATAGTTTGGGACATCAGCTTGAAGGCATAATTTTTTTGAACTTTGGAAAAAGTAAGTTATTATGGTCATGTATTAAGCAATCTTCTCCACATTGTTCTGTGGGTTAGTATAATGTTAAGGAATTTGTGACGGTTTATTGTTGTTTTATTTTCTTTTTGAGATGTGAACTATCCTGATCAATTCTAGTCTAAAACTTTTGAGGATGGTTTATTGATATGTTAGAGCATGTGTGTGTGCACGTGTGCATGCTTGTATATGTGTGTGTGTAGTGTAGGTGATGATCTTTGGCTTTGGATTTTAAAAAGAATTTTAAAAAATTCAATTACAACTAGAGAACCTTTCTTCCAGTTTTTACTCAGTTGTCCTTCATTCCCTTTGAAATAGTGGACCTGACCCAATTCTTTTTTGAGAATTCGTTTCACAGAACAGTGTGTTAAAATATTTTTGTCCTTCTAATCAAGTGCAGTGTAAGTACTGGCAACCATCCATAGCTTCTGTTCTTTAACATGAAAATAATTTTATTCCTTGGTTAAGATATTAGCTCCATTATTGTACTTACTGGTTCTGGGACAGCAGGTTACAATTTGAGGAACATAGCTATTTCATACATAAAATAAATGTTTTTTCTCTACAAGCATTTTTTAATCTCAATTTTGTTATGTCACTTTCTAAAAATGATCTTTGAAGTATATAATGACATGGTAAAAGTATTGATTGAAGAAGAATACCATAGACACTAGAAATGAAATTTATTTTTGAATAAAATTTAGATTATTAAAATTCAACATGACTTTATTGCTACATTAAGATAATTTCTTTGAAAAAGTTGATCCAGCTATCTTCACTTGTTTGATTTAGTATGCCATGTTAGTCTTAGGAAACTGACATTTAGTTTGAACATTGAGTGTAGCTAAGTTATTGCTGAGAGATAAAATATATATTGGATTAACTCTTAATGATTACACTTTGAAAGTATTATAGAAATGAACACTGAAAACCATTTATAATGCATAATATTAGATTTCCGTTATAATGTTCTAGATGTTTAAAGTACAGTGCCATTGTTCTTTTCCTAGAGTTGATTAGAAAAAAAAACTATAATTTGTGGGGAATAGAATGAAAAAGAGAAAGGATGAGGGAAGTTGAGGAGGGCGGAGTATACTAGTTTCAGAAAGCTGCCTTAACAGAGTACCACAGACTGGGTGGTTAAAACAACAGGAATTCATCTTCTCACACTCTCGCAGTTCCAGAGGTTAGAGTCTGAAATTGCAATGTCAGCAGGGTCCTGTTCCACCTGAAAGCTCTAGGGGAAGGATCCTTCCTTGCCTCTTGCTTGCTTTGGGTGGCTGTCTGCAGTCCTTGGCTTGTAGACTTATCACTCCAGTCTCTGCCTCCATTGTCATGGTGTTCTTCCTGTGTATCCCTGTCCAAATTTCCCTCTTCTTATAAGGACACCAGTCGTGTTGAGTATTAGGGCCCACCCTAATCCACTATAACCTCATCTCAACTTGATTACATCTACAAAGACCCTGTTTCCAAATAAGGTCACATTCACAGTTTTGGATAGATGTAAATTGTGGGAACACTATTAAACTCAGAACAGAGAGTTCTAAGTTTGGTTTATATTTTGAGATTTAAACCAACACACTTACTAGTTTCTATAAAGCGGACAAGTAAGATGCATTTTATGTAGAAAACTTATTTTTATTTGCAATATATTCACATATATCCTTTCCTATAGCACACGCCTAGGTGTCTAGAATTTTCTGTTCATGTAGCAGAGATTGCATTAGAGGAATATTTGGTTATGAGACATCTATTTATATAGATGGGGAGCCGGAAGACTTTCCACATTACCTCTTAATAGGCCAATATTTATAGAACCACGCTAGACTTGAGTATTTTAACTACTATTAGGATAATACTTTTGTTCTTATTTATTTTATATCCACAATACCTAATAGTGTCTGATGCTGATTTGTTGAGTGAAGAATAAATTAATGAAAGTGTGAGTGTGTGTGTCTGTCTGTCTTCATTGAAGGGTTGTTAACAGAGGCATGATGTGGGGAGTTTTCATTTAATAAATATATGCTCTGCCTTAAGCCCAACTGGTGGCATCCTTTATACTTTGCTTTTATTACTTACAGTACATTATTGCATATTAGTGTGTAAATGCTATGATTGCATAATATTCCATTACATAGACATTTTATAATTTATTTAACTAGTCTCCCTTTTTATTTTTAATTGTGACAAAATACACATAACATAAAATTTACCATCTTAACCATTTTTAAGTTGTTAGGTATATTCACATTATTGTGTAACCAATCTCCAGAACTCTTGTTTTATGAAACCAAAACTCTATACTAATTTAAAAACTTCCCATTTTTCCGTCCTGTCAACCACCATTTTTTAAAAATTTCTATAAATCTGAGTTAGTCTCTCTTTAGTTGTTTTCATCTTTGCTCTTATAAACAGTGCTGCAGGAAATAGCTTTGCATGGGTATCATTTTACACATAAATATGTACCTCTGTAAGATGAATTCTTAGAAGTGGAATTTCTGGGTAGAAAGATATTCACATTTCTTAGCGAAAAATATATTGCCAAATTGACTTCCAGAACTGTTGTACCAATTTATACTCCCCCCAACAATGTATATCAGCTGTTCAAATAAATATGTTTCAGTAAAGTTAGCTTGTCAGCCAGACTTCATTGGGATCTTGGGAAAGGAAAGGCAACTGTGAGGGAAGGTTGGTGCTGCTGGGGTGTCCCCCGTGTTCCACCTCTATTCCTTAAGGACTACTTGACATCTCAAGTATAGTTTCCATACTGCATTCATTTAAAAAATTTAAAGTAAAAAAATTTCCTCATACTGTGTAAGCTATTTATGTATTGGTGATAACTTCTAAGAGAATGATTGTAAGTAGGTACCACAACTTAATACACGTTTAGTCCAGCTGAAATTCCCTTAATACAAATTTTTTAAATGTTTAAAATGAATGCACAGATGCTTTGTTTAAATGGGTTTTAATAGAAAGAAAACATTAGCAGAATTCTGCTCACATGAACTCTTATGAGAAGCTCCACTCTGTTGGGGTGACAGTGAAGGGTGCCGGGGGAGGGAGGGAGGCTGACGGGGTAAAGCAGGTGAGCCCCAGGTCTCACATCCCTGTTTCATCCAGAACTATTACACACAGATGGCTCAGCTTCTTTCCTTATAGCAGTGAGTGATATGACTGAATACTAATATATATTCAGCCTCTGGAGATTCATGTCGGACTTTTGAGGAATCTAGAAGCTTCTTTGTAGAATCCTGATGTTTGAAGCTGATGCTCAATTTTATTTTTTCTATGTAGTAAATTAACTATAAAATGAGGTATAACTACTTGGAGATACCACTTTTTTCCTTGGAGTGCACATACAGGTTTTGGTGCAATGGCTTTTCATATGGAGATTTTTAATTATGTAACATCTTTATTAGTTTTCTTATTTTACAATGACTATGCTTACATATTTTTATAATATTTGCATATATTATTATAAAGTAGAATTTAAGGAGCTTTGAGAACTATTTCCCAATGATGATCAGTATTAGTAGTTTTGAATTCATTCCCCCTTGATTTTTTTCAATGTACTAAATAACATGTAAGTTTTATTCCTTCTTTGAAAAGATGGTCTCATGCTATACATACTGTTTTGTGATTTGCTTTACTTGGTAACAAGTCGTTTGGGGGTTACTGTATAGAGATATCCTTCATTCTTTTAAAGGATTTATACTCTTTCATGATATTAAAGTTTTCTTATCCATTCCCCTGTTGGTGACTATTAAAGTTGTAATAAATACCCTTTATGCATTTCTTTGCCTATTTCAGCAATGTTTCTGTAGGATAAACTCTAAGAAGTAGAATTTCTTTTTTTTTTAATACTGTATTTTATTTTATTTATTTTTGGTATTTTATTTAGATACAGGGGATTTTTTAAATTGTAACAAAATACACACAATGTAAAATTTACCATCTTAATCATTTTTAAATGCATAGTTCAGTGGCAGTAAGTACATTCATGTTTTTGTGCAAACATCACCACCATGCATCTTCAGAATTTTACCATCACCCCAAACAAACTTTATGCCATTAACTTTTTTTATTTTACTGAGTTATAGTCAGTTTACAATGTTGTGTCGATTTCCAGTGTAGAGCACAATTTTTCAGTTATATATGAACATACATGTGTTCATTGGGGAAGTAGAATTTCTGAATCAAAGGTATGACCATTTTACATTTTAATGGGTATTTTGGGTCTCTATAAAATGTTATAGGAAATAAACGTAGTTCTAAACTTTCAGAAGCTTTAGCCAAGTGATGTATCATCACTAATGTGCACCGGTTTTTCTAACATAAGGTTTCTGGTGATGTAGAAATCTTTAAAATGACAGCGCTTAATTTGCAGCAACATGGATGCTCCTAGAGAATGTCATTCTAAGTGAAGTAAGCCAGAAAGAGAAAGAAAAATACCATATGAGATCACTCATATGTGGAATCTAAAAAACAAAAACAAACAAACAAACAAAAACAAAGCATAAATACGGGACAGAAATAGACTCATGGACAGAGAATACAGACTTGTGGTTACGGGGTGGGGGTAGAGGGTGGGAAGGGATAGACTGGGATTTCAAAATTGTAGAATAGATAAACAAGATTACACTGTATAGCACAGGGAAATATACACAAAATGTTATGATAAATCACAGAGAAAAAAATGTGAAAATGAGTGTGTATATGTCCATGAATGACTGAAAAATTGTGCTGAACACTGGAATTTGACACAACACTGTAAAATGATTATGAATCAATAAAAAAATGTAAAAATAAAAAAAATAAAAATAATGACAGCGCTTAAACTTTTTATTCTTACAGTGATGGAGTGGGGGGAAGATATTAAAGCAATTTCAAAAGATGAAGCAGTAATGTTGGTGAATCATCAGGCAACAGGAGACGTGTGCACTCTGATGATGTGCCTGCAGGACAAAGGACTGGTAAGCCACCCTGAAGGCAGGGGCAGATTGCAGGAGCTGGGGTTGGGGGCAGGCTCAGTTTAACTACTTCACTGCGGTTGGGAATATAGACTTAAACTTTAATAAGGTATACCTTTCCTGAAGTTTAGAAAATTTTGAAAAGAAAAATATCCCATGTATACAATTCTGAATCACTCCAGAAGGGGAATTTACAGACTTGGAGAAAAATAACTGGGGTGATGTGGATTATATCTCCACCAAGCTGTTTTTTAAAAAACATAACTGAAATGAAAGCAAAGTTAATACGGTTCTGTGTGGGGCTGTCTTGAGGTGAGAGGTGGGTTGCAAGTTTGAGAAGTACAAGCACGAGAAGCAGTTTACATAAGACAGAAGAGTAAAATTGGTCAGGGCATTAGGTGATCTTGGGGATCTTTAGCCAGAGGAGAATAAGGTAAAAATTATTTTGGATTTCACTTAGAAAGCAAATTGAAAGGAAAGATGTTAGGCCCATTTTCTTTAGTGTCGCTGAGGCTGTTTGAACTGGTGATTTTACGTGGCTTATATTGATAACTAAAATATATCTATAAACTGGGAGGGTTTAAAGTAAAATCAGTCCTTTACATTAAAAGGATTATCACTTTAGGAGAAGGTAAAAAGGGAAGTAAATAAATAGAAAGTATGTATGATTAGTGGAGTTAATATTTGGCCCAATAGTAAAGAAACAAATCACTAAATGTTTATTAAGTGTTTCATATCATGGTCACTGACTATAAATATAGAATATCATCCTATAAGACACTATCCTCTTAACGGAGCTAGTAATTGAGTCATTCATGTAAGCCTCTCCAGATGTTTTGATATATAGAAATTCTGTGCTTCCAGGTAAAGAATAATTGGTATAGACCAATTTTGTCCCTGGGAAATACCTAACAATGTTCCAAGTGACAGCATGTGAAATGATGACACAGCTGATTCAGGCAGCTTGTGTTTACTGACCTCCTTTTTTTGAGGAATATGAAACAAAGGATTAATTGTATTTTCTGAATGTGCTGGTACCTTTTTAATAAGTATTTGTGAAGTGAGGAGTCTTGCCCTTTCGTGGCAACTGATGATAAAACTAAGAATTTTTATTTCTATCCGAAGAACTTTATTAAACATGTAATAAACATTTATTGACTTGTAACATTTCCCCGAAAATAAATTAGAACAGAATTATCCATACAAATCTCAGAAGATAGCTTGGTTGTCTTATTTAATTTGTTTTAGGTGACCCTTCTGACTGAGGAGGTAAATCCACTATAATGTAAGATTAAACATAAAAGCTAGTTACTTTAGTGTTGCTATTAAACACAGAGACCAATAAATTGCAGCCACACTTTATATTGTGTATAAAGCTCAAGGTTTTATAAGTTGAATCCACTTGCTTTTTGTTTTGTTCCTTAGGATACTTTTTAGCAAATTCCTTTTAGTTCAGATCTCAATTTGTTTAAACAAAGTAGTCATGATTACAAAGCAAAACAGGATTCAAAAATGAGATGTTGGTGATTATTTTATTCTGTATTAATTGACTAGGGGAGTCAGTCCTTCACTGGGCATGTATCTTTATTTTTTAAAAGTGATTTAACATAATAAAACTGATGGACTAGGAGTCATGTAATAAAACTATATAGTGGTCCTGAAAAATTAAGGCATAAGCTTTAATATTATATTATTTGTGGGCTTTTATAATGCTTTTGTAAAACCAGCACATGGGTGTCGACGCTTAGTTTTTTCCTTTATATGTTAGTTCGTATAATTTGGTGCTTAGAGATCAAGTTTACATTTGTTAGTCCTCTAGGAACCAAGCTAGAGCTCTGTGGCATTCTTGATTGCTGCTGTAGTTTTCACTTTATTTATTTAAGGCTTATAAACCAGGAATGCTATTTCCTCAGCAGGGAAGGACAGTTAACCAGTTCATTAATTAGATCCTGTTTACACTTACTTTAATTTTGAAATCAGCTTGAAATAAAGTCTTCTGCTTTTGATACGGGTATTAACTCTTTTTTTTTTTTCCCTCCCACTGGATGATACAGGTATTGACTCTTATCAGCAATGGATAATATTTTTGTGTTTAAGAAACTGAGTATTTTTATGTTAACAAAGAGTATGGGCTTCCATAAACTAACAAATATTCTTCATAGCATGATAGAATGTATAAATCATTCTACTAAATGAAATTTTTTTTAATTTACAGTATATTTTATTGACTAAATAAATTCTTTAATGCTCTTTTACTTTGGATCTTATTTTATGTTTTTTTATACAGTTTTATATTTATATATTGATATTTTATGACTTTAAATACTTTAGCCTTTAAGATAAAGTCACATTTTATAAAGCCTTAGTGCTTATTAATTAAGCTTATAGCCCTCATTTGGTAACTTTGGGTATATTATATAGTTTCAAAATAACTTTACAAGCTATATAAGAATTATCAGAGATTTTGTGTAGGTAGAACACATTGGAAATCATTAAGTCCAAAGTTAAGAAGTTCAGGGGACGGTATAGCTCACTGTAGAGCACATGTTTAACATGCACGAGGTGCTGCTGGGTTCAATCCCCAGTACCTCCATTTAAAAATCAATCAATCAATCAATCAATCAATCTAGTTATCTCCCCCCAGCAGAAAAAAAAAACAAGCCAAAAACAAAGTTAAGAAGTTAATTTAGCTTGTGACGCAGTGGTAGGTATACACTTGTGACTTAGGATCCCAAGACTTGAAATCAAGACCTGTAATTTTTCACATAGTGTTTTATTTGTAGAAATAACATTAAATTTAAGATACGTAGGTTAATTAAAAGTATGCTTGGGTGATTATTATATTTAAAATTTAGAGACTTGGCTAGACTAGAGTCAAGCTTTTTCTGCCCAACATTTAATTATTTCTTGATTTAAATATTTTAGGTTGTTGCTCAAATGATGTGGTTGATGGATCATATTTTTAAGTACACAAACTTTGGAATTGTTTCTCTAATTCACGGAGACTTCTTTATAAGACAGGTAAGTAATGAGCACTTTTTTCACAGTGATAGCCTGATCAATCTGATTCTTTGTTGTAAAAAGAGGCATAACAAAACCAATTATAAGAGATAGAGACAGTTCAAGTATCTGAGGGAGCTGGGAATCTTTGCTCCCTAAATCATTCATTTCAATCTGAATTTGAGTATGCAAAGCATTAAAATGCTGATAATGCAAATAGTTTCATTTCTACTGTCTTCCTCCCTTCTGAACAGTACAATGTTTTTTGGTAAATGTTTATCAAGCACCTGCCACATTCTCAGCTCTTCTGCTTCTTAGCTGTGTGAATTGAGCAAGTTATTTAACCTCTCAAAGTTTCCTTATTTTTCAAGTGAGAATTGGGTACTCCTGTCATAGAGTTGTTGTGGGGATTAAATGAAGTCATACGTGTTGCGTACTCAGAACAGTCTCTGTGACTTTCATCATCATTTTCATCATGACCACTACTGTCATCATCTGTATTATCACTTTATTTTTATTTACAAGTCACTGTCATGTGATCAGACGGTCTCTAAATTAGCAGTAAGGGGATTGTTAAATAAATAAGCAGGGATATTATTAAGTAATTAAATGGCAACTTCACCCTGGATTGTGCAGCACTCTGTGCATAGTGAGTACTTAATGAATAGCTGGTAAATGTAACTACGCCTCTTCTGAGAACCACAGATTCAGAAATAAGATGGAAGTCTGTAGAAAAACTTCTAAGTGCTGTGAAAATAGGTGTCCCAAAGCACATATTCTTTGTTCCAGACAGTTTTATGTACAAAACATATTTTGGTTTCTCACGTGCTGTGTAATTGTCTAATTTCTTCTGGAAAATCCCTTGGTTTTCTGAGCAGAGAGATGAAAAAAAGCACCTCAGGAAGAATTGGGGATAGGGTTTGGCTACAACACAGCTGAGACAAAATAAACAGTGATCTCAGAGCAACTTAACAAAGAAACTAGGCTAATTTCTTAAGAGTGTAGCTGGAGGGAAAGACAGCAGAGCCAACAACTGAAGCAGTCTCGGGGGAATCCAGAGGAAAAGCCTGCTGAACCCCTTACATCATGAGAGGCTGAAGACATTATTGAATTTATAGTGCAGTGTAAGATTTAACCCTAATGATGATCTTCAGGCATCAAGAAGAGGCTAAATTATACAAAATTATCAGTGTACTTTAAGGAGTTGAAAATAGAAAAATAATATACTTCAAAACATTTTCCTTTTTATTGCATTGTAAAGTTTTGCATACTTAAGGACTATATTTCAAAGTATTGAAGAGATTTACAAATTCATTTCTAAAGAGCAAAAAAGTTTTTCCCTATTAGATAGTAATAAAAATTTATGGCGGAAGGAAGGAAAATGTATTAATGTTAAAGAAAGTCTCTTGGGACTTTGCTACTAGACATTTTCGGCAAGATATTTCCAAGAGTATTAAAAAATATTTTACATGTAGTCTTGGGAACTAAATAAATAAATAAATCTTAATCATAATTAATTCTGTTCCAAAATTAGCTAAGGAAATTTTTACTTGTTTTTCATTTGGAATAATTTAATCTAAAGACTGAAGCATACAAATTATTTTGAGGAGCCTCTGTAATTGTGTTGACTAGAAAATTATTAGCAAATTGGCCATACTGAAAGGAAGAACCTTTGTAATATTTAAGTCTTGGGTTTGGGGCTTTCCTAAAAATGCTTCTGGATTCTTTTAAGTTTCCAAGTCATCCTCTCTCCTCTCTTTCCCTCACAACTAAGATTCAGTCCATCAGAATATCCTGTTAGCTTTCAGACTTTTTTCATATGTTTTCCTGAATATTGCCACCTCTCATCAATATACTATAGTTGAATCTCATCAAACTCCCTGTCCAGACTCTGCAGTGGTCTCCCACTTTATCTCCTGTAGTCTCTTTGTCCCTTATTTTAATGTAAATAAGATCATGACACTCCTTTGTTCAGAAATATTTAATGATTTCCCATCGAAAGCTACTTACCAAGCTCAAGGCCCTTCTCATATGCTCTCCTCACCTCTCTGCAGTTTTCAGCCACACTGGCCTTGCTACAGTTCGCTGAACATGTCAAGCTTGTTCCCCACCTCAGGGCCTTTGTCCTTTTTGTCCATCAGCTGGAATACTCTGCCTCTCATCTTCATATGGCTCGTTCCCTCATTCCTCAGATATCACCTCCTCCGAGCTGCTTTCCCTGACCCTGTTGAGTTTCTCTGACCTCTGACTCTTTTCTTCCTAACACTTACCAACAATTAAATTTATTATACTCCTTATTTCTGTCTTCCACACGCAAGTCAGCTCCATGAGGGTCTCTTACTTCTCTATCTCCAGGACAGTGCCTTCGAGTAAGTAGTAGGTGTTCAGTAGATAAATCACTGATAATGAATGAACTTTCAGGGACAATTAGAGCAGTTTTTTTTTTCTTATTTATGTAAGTGCTAATAACTTCTTTTTGCCATTATGGTGAAAAGGGGAAGTAAGTGGGGGGGTCGGGGCTGGGGGATCACTGTTCCAGCCCGTGATTGGGATTTACTGTAGCAGCAATTATTTCTATTTAATTTTAGGTCTTTAAATTAAATACTTATTATGTGTGTGTCTACCTTCTAGGGAAAATCTCATCGTGACCAACAGCTTCTTCTTCTCAAGAAGCACCTGGAAAATAATTACAGGAGCAGAGATCGAAAGTGGATTGTTCTGTTTCCAGAAGGCGGCTTCCTCAGGAAGAGGCGAGAAACCAGTCAGGCATTTGCCAAGAAAAACAACTTGCCATTTCTTACACATGTCACTCTGCCAAGGATTGGGGCAACAAAAATTATTTTGAGTGCACTTGTAGCACGACAGGAAAATGGAAGTCCAGTAGGAGGAGATGCTAAAGAATTAGGTATGATGGTTTTTAGCATTTTTTCTTTTCTTGGAATTAAAGAATTTTCTGGATTTCCAGAAGATAACATTGTTGTTCTTTTTTATATTTATAATTTTTGTCAAATAGAAATAATACTGAGGGAGAAGACGAAAATACAATTTTTTAATGTTTCTATGTATAAAAGTAGTCCATGCTAATAATAGTTTATTCAAATAATATGGGAGTGTATAAAGTCAAAGGTATCTTGCCCTTACCCTAACCTTAATCCTGGCCATTCCCACTGCTGCAGCAAACACTCCTATAAATATCTTTCTTTATATACTTGTGGAAGTATGTTTGTCACATAGATTCCTAGAAGTGGCATTGCTAGGTTAAAAGATACAGGAATAGAAATGACTAATTTGAAAAACCAATCATAGATATGCAAATGGAATCATAATGATATGTATTTTTTTCATTTACCAAATTAGAAAGATTTTTTTTGTTTTTAATACAGAGAATGAATTTAATGCAGTTTGGCGGTATTTATTAAGAGTCTTGAAATGTTGATAAGTGACTCAGTTATTCCACTGCAAATAATACTTATCAAAAGGAAGTAATTTGAAATGCTAGCAAGGTAGTTAATCACAGCATTATTTGTAATGGCAAAAAATTGGAAACAGAAGGAAGAACAGGTAAGTAATTGTCAAGTATCCGTCTAACAGAATACAGCACAGCCATTGCAAATGATATTCATGGAGAGTTTCTGTTGGCTTGGAAAATAGTTTATGATCTATAATGTTAACGGAGTGGGAGGAACGTAAAACTCTATGCAAACAACATGAACTCAAATACGTAAATAATAAGGCAGTAGCAAATCAGTGGAAGGAAAAACTCCAGAATATTAGCAGTGATGGCTTCTCTGGGTTGTTGCATTTATGGATAATCCTTCCCTATTTCTTAATACTTTTCTGAATGAAAAAAATAGTATGTGTTACTTTTACAGCCAGGAAAAAGTAAACTATACTCAAAGATGCAACTATCTTGGGGATCACCTAGTGGATAGTGAAGATTTGCAGCGGATGTTTGTGCCAACAGCATGAGGACTGTTTTGAACAAGTTATCTAAGACGCTGAAAGTCTGGTGATAAATTGTAGATTAAAAAGCTGAAGGAAACTCACTGGGCCTTTTTCCTTAGTACCATTTTGCTATTTCTTTTGATATTCTTTAGATAGAATAAGAATGGCAATGATTGACTCTCAGAAGTAGATGTTTTTAAATGACAGTGAGGACCAGGCATAGAACTGATGCCTGTGAGATTGTGCTGAGTTTTCCTTAAATTTGTTTTTTTTCTAAACAGATGCTTGGTAGTCAGCTCTCTGAATCTTTCACTGTCTATTAAAAAGACAAATTGAAAGAGTCTTTTAATAGAAAAGTAAAGTTCGAATAGCATCTCTGCTGGAGAGACACCGTGGCAATGTCAGCCAGGCCAAATCTGAAAGGCAAAGGTCTTCCAAGTAGGATTAATTGCACTAATAAAGACTGCTATTTTTAAATAGTTGTATCCAGTTTGTACCCGGTGGTACCTTAGATCTCCAAGGTAGGGGCATTTGTCATACTGATTACACAAGAGTGAAGAAAAATGTTTTTTTTCTTTTGGAGAGAAATAATTTTGTTTATAACCAAAACAAAGTAGTTTATTATTTATCTTACCTTAGTTAAAACTTTTATTCTAGCAATTTAGGAAAACTCACAACGAATTCTAGAAAACTGTATACCCCAAAACTAGTTTTACTTTTCTTTTACCATTTTCTTCTCTATGTTTTGATATTTTATATTTCATTTTCTTTAGTTTTCATATTCACTATTTAGTGTTTTATTTCATAAAAACGCAGACTATGCCATCATGTCTGTTTTAATATGTGATCCATACACATACCAAAATTAAGTTGTGTCTAATTAAAAGGATTAGGCTTTTTTTGTTTATTGTATGATTTAATAAATATTAAACTGAACTCTGGTGATTTTTTTTTCCCAACCATTTTGTTACAAAATTTTTCAAACATACATGAAAGTTTTTTTCTTTCCTATATGAGAAATTCTTTCTTATATTTCTTTCTTTCATTTCTTATATGAGTATTTTTTCCCTTAAGAATGTTGTCTAAAATTTTTAAAGAATTTAAGGCCAGTTTTTAATTACTTGATTTTTAAAAGTAAAATATTTTTGATTCCCATTGTACATTTGGCCTTATGTTTGAAAATAAGTTTTATGTTTTTAGTGATCTCTTAAATACTTCACAGGGTAGGCCATTACACTTTAAAGTCTAGCTCTCAGCATTCTCTGTGAGGGTTCCTCTCAATTCTTGCTCAACTCTGTACTCTTGGAAGTAAAAACAGCGTGCAGAGGACCAGAGTAAACAGAACTTACCCATCCCCTCTCACAACAGTAGTTCCCTGTTGTACCTACCAAAGTACAGAGTGGACAGGTTTATTGCTTTATTTGTATATAACCCTTGCTAAAAGGAGAGGAGTGTTTTGTTTGTTTGTTTTAAACAAGAATAGCAACTGATGATCATGTGTGTCAATAAAAAGTGCTTAATTTTATTGCCTTATTCCAATATTTATTAATGTCTCCCAAGTATCACAAATCTTGATGTTTGTATTATATTTTGTTAGTGAATGGATTTTGTTGTTTTGGTATCTGCTTTTCGCTTTTGTGATGTAATGCTTCAGCTTCTGACTTTTTATAGGCCAGTTTTTATGAGTGATAAAATGTAAATTAGACCTTGATAGTGCATAATTGTATTGAATGCTTACATGATGCATGTCCAGTATATAACAGTGCTCTATTGTTTGTTAATTTGGAATTCAGCCACTTTATAGTATAAAGGAAATGCTTAATTTCATCCTAAGTGCATCATATAGAACAGTAACACCAAAGTTCATCCTCTTAAACAAAAGATATATCAATATGCTTTATACCTGTAATCTATACTATGTTATTTGCTGCCAGTAATATAAAAATTGATCCAATTTTATATTTTTCTCAGACAGCAAATCAGAAGGCCTCCAGTGGATAATAGATACAACCATAGCTTATCCCAAAGCTGAACCCATAGATATTCAAACCTGGATCCTTGGATACAGGAAACCAGCAGTCACACATGTACATTACAGGTAAGAATTCCACATTAGTACTCAGCATTAATCCATCATGAAGTACTAACTCAAGATAGTACCAATGTTTTAGTATTACATTTTTAATCAGTAGTGAAAATAGTCGCCTCCTAATTTTTCTTGTGTTGAATTTTTAATATGAAAATACCATTTGAAGTAATTATTTTCATTGAGTGATAAAAGTCTCTAAAAATGGCTTTCTAGAGGCTCTATGATTGATTGCCTGACCCTCTTGAATGAAAGTAATTAACTTAAAGGGCAAATAGCAAGGGTAAATATGAACTCAATTGGGTTAAGTAAATTTGTATTAATAGAAATGGAATTTGTTTTTAAATCAGTAAGCCCTATAAGATTTTCTGAATGATTAAATTGATAACTTAGCTATGACTTTCACTTCCAGATTTTTATGATGCATATGTCATTTGCATAAACAGCAGCAAAAACATTTATTGACTATTCTGTACTAGCCCCTTGAGATTTTTTGATATAGATTTTTGTTTTTGTAGAGTTTCAGGTCAGTGTGCAGAGGTGTTCATATCAAAGCATGATGCTGTTAAGACCTGCTTAGATTTGATCACTTTATAAGCCATTTATCTTTGCTCTATTTCCTGGTGAAAGATCTTAGCACATGGCAACTTGGTTACCAAGTGAACATTTGGTCCCAAGAAAGATCACAATTTGCCACAAAATCCCTTCATTCAAGAGGAAAACTACTCAAATTACATATCTATTGAAAAAGTAAATAGGTAGCGTATTTTCATATGTGTAAACCACTCAAGTAATTCTTAATGATTGTTCTGACTCTATTCCACGTATGTTGTCCATTTTCCTTATTTTATTGAGCATTTACTATATACAAGACAAGGTGCTAGGCCCTGGAAGAATTTCTCCAGGAGCAGCTTTATTTTCATTATGTATGAAACACATCTAACCTTCACTAAGTTTTTAAATTGTAATCTATAAATAAAGCTCAGTTTTAATGCCCAACCCCAGAATATATGGCTGTTGGATATATGTTTTGACCACATGTATCTGCATTATACCTGCTTTGGATATATGTAGCTCTTCCTAGCACATCATACCCAAAACGAATTCAGACAAGGAAGAAAACATTAAGTTATGCATGTGTTCTTTATTATTGACCTTGCTTTCTTTTTTAACCAATAAATAGAAGAAATTATAATTTACAGATACTGAGAAAAAAATGCATAGAGTCATAAGGGATCTTAAGAAATGACCATTTTTAGCAAAATTATTTTAATAAGAGCACTACAAGGCTCTTATATTCACTTGAAGCAGGAGTACTTAACCCTGTGTCTCATGGATGGACCTCAGAGAATTTTTTAACCTAATCTCTAAGCAAATTTTGTGTGTGTGTATAATTTTCTGCAGAGACATTTCATAGCTTTCACTTTATTCTCAAAATAGATTAAGGATTAAGAAAAGATTAAGGGCCCCTGATTTAGATATCAAAACCAAATATTGTAGTGTATAGAAGATGAGGAATTATTAGTTTGATACAGAAAAATACTTCCATTAAGAAAATAGAAGCTTCTCAAATAAATTGTTATAGAAACTTTATTACGGACATAGCAATAATAAAGAAAATCCTCATATGTTAAATTACAGAGATTAAATTGTATTATAGAATCATACTTCAAAATATTAAAGTACAAACTATGCCTGATTATTTATACACATACACACTCAATCCTATGAGTCTTGGGACAGGTAGGGAGATATACTTTTGTCCCCAGAAATTTAGTAGAGATCATTGTCTAACCAATGTTAGGAAAAAGGAAAGACCTGTGTCAGGTGGGAAAAGGACAGCAGGTGAAAGGTGCAGGAGAGGACAGGCGTCTTGGTGTCAGGAAAGTTTTGAGGATTTGCAAGAAGCTTGTGAGAAGGGATGTGGGCCATGTCCTTAGCAGCTCCCAGGAATAAGTCTCTACCAGCCATAGATTGACTGGATCTCCTCATGTGTCAGTTTAGGCCACCTATTCCCACCCTGGGGGATAGGGAAAAAAAGATTGGATTTTTATTCAGTTGGTTGAGTTTTTGGTTTTTTGGTTTTTTTGGCTGTTTTAAATTTTTTTACTGCCCCAATTTCTCAGTTTCAAAATAATTTCTTTATTGTGTATCCTGGATTTGTCCTGTCAGAAATAATACCATTGAAATTAAAATAAATTTAAGCAAACGTGGCGCTTCCTACTCATTTTTGGTTTTGTTAGTTTGTTTAGTGTTCTCAGAAAGATTGGTTTCTGTTCAGACTCTCCAGGTGTTTGGTTATATTTAAAAAAATTTTTAAACAAGGATGAGATGTTTCCAATTAGAAAAAGAGATTTAAAATGGAATATTAGAAATCATATATATATAAATGTGAGTAATACAAATAACTGGGGTTAGATCTCTTTCTCTTTGAATGTGGGGAGACTGAAAAGAAAAATTGAACAGCATTGACTATTTAAATTGGGGACTGGGGCCCAGAGAGATAGGAAAAGGTGGTCTGGAAACTTTAAGCTCACCGAAAAATGGTGGTTTTGCTTAATACTGTGTTGTTTATCATCACCTATAGGCAGATTTAAAAATCTATTCATGAATGCATTTTTTTCCTACAGTTAAGCACAGTTTACCCAGAACATTACTGTTAAGCTAAAATTGGTACAAGCCAATTTTGCTTCACATGACATAGAAAGTATTTGTTTTCTTCTTAAGCCCAGTTGATTTATTTTTAAATAAAGCAGCACCCATTCATAGAGAATATAACTGAAGTGATCACTTTGGTGATCTGGTGTAGTTGGACAAGTTAGTATTATTGGTTTTTTTTCCTTCAGTATAATCTAGAGGCGTATACATGTGAGAGTCAAAAGGAATTATTCCATTCTGCTCAGTATTTATCAGATCCCACTTAGAAGAGAGAGAGAGAGAAGCCCTCGGCTCTTCGCTATAAATGTCATTACCAGCTATTACATGAGAACCAAAAGGGAGGTGAATCAATCAGAAACGTCAGTTGATATTTTATGATTACATTAAACACTGAAAAGCATTTAATTGAGTTCTTATATTTAATATAGGCTTTAGTCTATGTATATATTTATACATACACACACACACACACAGTAAACGTTCTAGTCAAAGGAGTGAGAAAAGAACACAAGCTACAGCTAAATTCCTGCCATAGGGCTTGGCTCATGAGTTTTATTTACCAAATATTTGTTGAGTTAATACATAATCTAAGTATCTAGAAAAAGAATATTGCATGTATTTTAACTTCTCTATTTCAAAAGAAATAATACAGTTAATAAAAGGTTTGAAAAGAGCTAATACAGGTAAATCCTCAAACAGTGGTACCACTTCAAAGGCAGTCGTTTTAGGTCAAATCTAAGCAAATTTGGAGGTAGTAGTAATGAAATGAAACAATTCCAAGAGAAACTCTAAGTCGGAAGTACAAACAGGTTAAGGAGTTTAACAATTCATAAGCACTAAGTTTGTAATACATTTCTGTAGACAGGGAGTACTTTTATTATACTTTAGGAGAATTTCGTGGGAGGTGGTAACTGTCCTTTCCTGTGTAGTACATCCTGGAGCCTGCTAAAAGCAGCAGAATGTGCCTCTGGATGGGTGGAGCACGCTGTTACTATGCTGTAACATTCCTGACCATCAGAATGCACTTGGGAAACAATACAATTGCTGTCATTTATTTAACAGTAAACATTGGTTGGGCCACTTTCTATTTCTTTAATAGATTTCTTTTTTCTTCTTGGAAATTATTGTCCAGGCTACCAAGTGGATTCCACTACCTGTTCTGTACCTTGTTGGAACATACTGTGACAGGTGTATGGAGGTCTCTGAACAAGAAAAGGCATTTTCCCTACAGAGTGACTTCAGTGTGTTAGTAAAATGAAGTGCTTAGAAAACATTTGGTCTTTATTTAAATAGGAAAAGATTATCTAGTTAGCAGAGTGTACAGCAGAATGTTCTGATGCTTAGGGAAAAAAGGATAAGAGTGCAGTAGCTAATTTTAAATGTTCTGAAATAAACCGTTTTTCCTTCCAGTAGCAGTTTTCTGCATTGTCAGTTCACTTCTTACTTGTTAGGCTTATGTTGGTTTTTAGGATTTCTGGAAGAAATGAACTCCAGATACACTTGTTATTATACGCTGTGAAATACTTCCCTAAAATGCCACATAAATGAGAAAGTAAAAATTTGTGACATGGTTGTTTACTGGATCCTGTCTTACAAACAGGTAGTGTTGTTGTCTTTCAAAAGTTGAACTTTTAAGACAAGTGCTTGGAGTTCATTCTTTAGGAAACTTGTGGTAAATGGTGATTAAGTACCCAGACCACTCTGCTAATTAAACCCCATAGCTCCTAAGGCAGCTTATCCTGGGATCTTGATGGTCAGAGGTTGCCCCACTTCAGTAAATACGTTGTTTGGGCACCAAATGATACACTGCTTTTAAAAAGTGTTTTAAAAGCTACAAATATGAAGTAGTATTATTAAGATATCTAAAGTGTGTAAGTGTTATCGATAAATCCAGTCCTAGTAAATTAGCATTTTCTAAATTCCCCACAGATTGGAGAGGAACTGAGGCTTAACTATGAAAATGGTTTGAGAAGAACAATTTTTCCTCCCCCTCATATTACTGTCTCACTGGAAGACAGCTTATTCCTATTAAAAGAGTAATGGGCACAGTGTGCTGCTGTTAAGGGGATAATAGCATAATTAAGCATGAATTAGATTTTAATTATGGAGATAGAATGTTTATAGCAATAAAAGCAAAAGTAACCCCTGTCCTTAATGTAAATGTCTGCTTCACTCCAAATTAGGAAAGTGAGTTAGAGAAGATGATTCTCTTGTGCAGAAATTACACAATTTTCATTTTTAAAAAGCTTAAAATAAGCTTAAAATAAGTGTAGTGGCATAGATTACTAGAGGCAGAAGTGTTACTTTCATGTCTAATTTGATTGGAACATTGATAAATTTGGAGAAGGCATTCAATTAGGGACTTTGGACAACAAGTTATTTTCAGTTTGGAGGGAAATTAATTCAGAAAAGGAATATTTAACGAATATTTTTAAAGAAAATATGCTCACTAGTAAGAATGGACAAATGTTAACATGCTGACATATTTGCCTCAGGGTATTTTTGTCAATAAAGGAAATCCCACATTTCTAGTAAAGTTAATTTCCCATTGTCCCCCGTCCCAGTTCCATACCCCTTCTGTCCCACCTTCGAAGTCGCTGCCATCATAAATTAGCTGTGTATCCTCCTTGTCCTCATACCCTTACTACATAGGAATGTGTATAATATATAATACTGTTTTGTATGTTTTAAAAAATGTATAATGCCATATATGGTATATGATTTTGCAACACATGTTTTCCACTCTGTATTATTTTCTAGATCATTTTGTCTTTACACCTATGGCTCTTTTCATTCAGTTGAACTATTAACACTATTTAACTATTCTACTGTCATCGTATAATTGTCACACATTATCTGTCCATTCTCCTGTTGTTGGATCCTTGTTTTCTCAGTCTTTTTGCTATTATAATGTCACAGAGAACATTTTTATACCTGTTTCACTAAACATAAGTGAGTAAACATAGGTAAGTGAGAGTTAAAGTAAGATGCGTATGTGTCCAGCAGTGGCGTTGCTAGGTCATAGGCTATGCACATTTTCACCTTTACTAGATATAGTCAAATTGTTCTCAAAGTGGTTGTATCAGATTGCAGTCTCATTAGCAGTATATAAGAGATCACCTCTTCCTACAGCTATGCCAAAGTCATTTGATTTTTTGCAAGACTGATAGGTTTGAAACAGTATATCATTATTTATGCCTCAGTCTTCATATTTATATAATAAGAAATGAATATAATAATCCTCAACTTGGTATTAAAAATGCCCTGCTATGAAACAGATTAGGATGAAGTAGCATCTTTATCTAAAAATTCAATCATTACTGGAAATCTTAATAGTTTATTCATTGGCGTCTGCCTTCCTTGTCTAGAACACAACCCCGTGAGAGCAGGTACTTAGCCTGTCTTCTTCTTAGTTATATTTATAGAACATTTCTGACAAATAATAGAAACTCAGTACTTATTGAATGTATGAATGCTCAAATCATGCTATCTAAATGTGCCCTGTCCAGTTATAACAGCCACTAGCCATGTGTGGCTACTGAGCACTTAAAAACATGACTAGTCTGATTGAAATGTTCTGTAAGTGTAAAATACACAATGAATTTTAAAGACTAGTAGGAAAAGAGAATGTAAACCATCTCACTAATAATTTTTGTTGATGATACGCTGAAATGATAACGTTTTAGATTTAGGGGATTAAAGGATTAAATTTTTTTCTTTAATATTATTAGATATTCTCTATTGTGTACTTTGTAAAAATATTAAATTTATTTTTAAAAATAAAGGCACATAACTATGAAAAACACTTAATAGAGGGGAAAAAAATTTTCCCAGCATGCTCACATAAAATTCCTTTTTATATTTCCTTTTAATATTTATTTTTATGTGCGTTTTTAATGTAGCTATAATTGTAATATGCATAAAAATTATTTGTTGTCCTTTATACCACATAGCTTTTTAATGAACATTAAACCTGTACTACATACATACTAGTTGTTAAGACTACAAATATTGTAAGTATTTTTAAGTTCTTTTATGAAGTCCTGACATTTTTAGTGGCTTTCTAAAATCCTGATTAGTAGATGCATTTAATTCCTTAATTCCCCATTGACTATAGACTTTTCAGGTTTTATTCTTGACTTTAATAACACTATGCTGAATATCTTAGTATATACATGTAGCTCCCCCCACCCCATGCTTTAGATTTTTTGATAATAGATATATTTAACCTTTTAGTGCTAATGTTAGATTAGAGAATGTTATTAAAATTATATCTGAATTGCAAGTGTTCATCAAAGAGATGAGGGAAGAACTTACTTATAAGAGAAATTATCAACATTTAAAAATAGAGTATAATTATTTTGATAATTTTATTTGTAATTTTATATTTGTGATTAATATGTCACTTTGGTTTTCCTTTCTATTTTTTCCTCCTTAAAACAACTGAAAGTTGACAGTTTTTATAAGTTCTAGGGGCTATAACTTCAGAAATAGTTTTTTCCCTCTAAAACTTTCTATATGGAAAATTTCAAAATTGTAAATTAAACCCCATGTACTGATTGTCCACTTATGGTGAATATTGTTTCCTCTTTGTTACTTCCCAGATCCTACTGGATTAATTTGAAGGAAGGCTCAGGCGTAATATCATTTCATTTATAAATATTTCATTATGTATTCTCTAAAATGTCAGATTTCTTTCTGTAAAAATGTTGCACATTATCATACCTAGAAATATTAATAACAATTCATTAATATTTTTAAATACCTAGTCAGTTATCAAATTTCCTAGATTGTCTCATGAATTATTTTTTAAAACAGTTTGGATTCAGTTGGGTTGCAATTGGTTGGTGTATTTCTTAAGTTTCTTTTTATATGTAGATTCCCCACTCTCTCTTTCATTTTCCTTATAGTTTATTTTTTGAAGATACCAGACTACTTGCCTTGTAGTGTTTATACAGTTTTGGTTTTGGATTGTATCTTGTGAATCCCTCTGTTACCTGTTTTGCCTATAAATTGGTAGGTAGATACTAAACTTTATCAGATTGAGGTTTGAATTTGCTTGACAAGAAATACTTTATAAGTGGTGTAGCTTACTTCTTCTATCAGGAGGTAAATAATGTCTGGTTGTCTGTCAGAAATAGTTTTTGAATGCTGTTTTTAGTTTAAATTTTTAGTCAGTACAGTGCTCTGAGGGGTGAATGATACCTACTCATTTTATCTCTTTCACTCCAGACAGTGATGTCAGGAATTTTAATTTAGAATTGAGGCCCCTTCTGCCATGTGACACATAGAGGATAGTTTGCTTAAGATACCCTCATAGTAATGGTATAAGAAGGTCCATAGTCTTATATTGTTTGATGAGCCATTAAAAAAAGGTTTTTCCCTACTGTGCCCCAAACTATAAAGGTGTTGGAAATGTTCTAAACCTATTTGAAAAATGAGCTATAAATCATCCATTGGAATGACAGATATTAGTCAAGGTTCTTCAGAGAAACAGAACCAATAGGATATACAGAGAGATTAGTTAGAGGGGATTTCTCATAGGAGTCAGCTCTCATGGTTTTGGAGGCTGAGAAGTCCTGTAGTCTACTGTCTACAAACTGGAGAACCAGAAAAGCCAGTGGCATAATTCAGTCTGAATCCCAAGGTCTGAGGATGTTGGGGAAGGGAATCTGAAAGAACTAGAAGTACCAATGTCCTAGAGCCAGAGAAGGTGGATGTTTAGCTCAAGCAGGATTTGAATTTACCCTTCCTCCGCCTTTCTGTTGCATTTGGGCCCTCAGTGGATTGGATACTGCCCATCTCATTGGTGAGGGCAGTCTTCTTAGTCCACTGATTAGAATGCCAGTCTCTTCCAGTGGCATCCTCACAGACACCCAGAAATAATGTTTTACCAACTGCACAGGTATCCTCTAGTCCAGTCAAGTTGACATGTGAAGTTAACCACCTCAGTAGTCTACATAGAAAACCCAAGAAACTGAGTTTACCATCTGTATGTAGAGTTCAGCAATCTTGATATAAAATTATTACAGAAAAATCAGTATTATCCCTTTATCCTGAAATAAATAGAAAGTGTAATTTTTTAAGAAGATGCTATTCTCAGAAGCAAGACTATAAAGTATCTACCAATAAAACTTAACAAAAAATGTATAAAGCTTTTATGAAGGAAAATATAAAACTTCATTGAAGAACATGAAAGACCTGAATAAGTAGAAAGAGATACTTTGTTCTCTTAGAGGGGGAGGCTGAAAATTATAGACATGTCAGTTCTCCCACATTAACCTATAAATTTAACGTAATTGCAATTACATTATATCCAGGAGTATTTGGAATCAGAATCCTGGAGGGTTTGTTTTTTTTTTTTGAAACTTGACAAGTGGCTCTAAAATTCATTTGAGAGAGTAAGATAAATGAATAGCTTAAGATAGTTTTAAAGATGAACAAGACAGAGGAATCCTTCCTGCCACATGTCATGGCTTAATATAATTAAAGCAGTGCAGTATGGGGGCAGGGTCAGATCAATGCAAAGATTAGAAAGTCCAGATTTTCTTGGGAACTTGTGTGTGATTGATGATTTTCTAACTACATTTCTTATAGGTTGATGGTTAGAAAAGTGATACTTGAAGCCCACCCCATAGAGAGAAAGTAGTGTTACCTCTTAGAATTAATACCTGAAAAACACAGTAAACAAGACATCATATACCGTATTTCATCCATTAAGATGCATATTTTTCACATATTAACATCTCTGAAACTGAGAGACATCTTAAGATCAGTATAATAAATCCTTAACTATAATTTAATTGGATATTTGGCATGCAGCACTTAAGCAAAAGTGCAAAAAGTGATTGCTGCCTCTCCTATGTCCTCCCCAGCACAGACTGCTGAATGGTTGGTATTGACAGCGAATGCCTCTGGGGAGGGATGCTTACCTCTCTTTGTACTACTTGAGGCTTTTTTTTTTTTAAAAAAAAACAATGTGAGTATTAATTCTTCAATTTAAAATTCAGTTATTCAGCATAATGAGGACCAAGTTTCAGGTCACCTTTCCCCAGTAACTGTGTAACTCTAAAGTGGCTCACCCCGAAGTGGTGCACACTAGATACTAATGATGAAGGTTTAGGGGTTTACCACCCTGAGCCTCAGCCCCAGCCCCCAAATTACTCATAAGGTCGTAAGATTACCTCTTGAACTAAAAGTAGTGTTCTTTTTCCCTAGCAGAAGGAAACAGTGTCCTGTCTTTGTTTTTTTTTTTTTTTTTTTTTTTTTTGTGCTGGAGCTTTTCTCTATCACCTCTTACAATTATTACTTATCTCACCTCTACTTCTGCTGTCTAATAATTCTCTTCTGTGGCTTAGCCTCTGTGTCCTGGCTTTTCGCTGGAAAAGGCTGGGCATTTTAGTCATCAGTCACTATTCAAAACTTCCAGTTGGAAAATGGAAAGTTAGACATTAAACTTAATCTTCAGGTTTTTAGTTCTGATTGCCATTTTTTTTTAATGTTCACCACCTCCAAGTTCTTTTTTCTTTTCTGCACCAATAGTTTTTTTTTTCCTTTAAGAAAACAAAACATTTTAGTTTGGCACTATTCAGGATGCTGGAGACATTAAAATCTTAATTGAGGTTTGACCATATTATAGATTGAATTCTGTATTTCTGTAATGAAGTTGGAGATTTGAAAGAGGTAAATCATCATTTCAAATAAGATAAAATCTTCATTCTCTAGTTAGAACATATGCCTAATTTCTTCTCAAATATTTATAAGAAGTTATAATATGAAAGATATTTTTTACTGTTAACATTGTAAAGAACCAAGACGTAACCTAAAATCTAATTTACTAAGTTATTTTCAATATATGAATCTGGACATAATATAATTCGGAGAACTATAATAAGCTTTGGAAATGAAGTGCTCTGGTTCCTTTTTTCTTGGCCCTCTGGGGGTCACCTTGTCTTTTTCACTTCCAGATTTCTCCAGAGTCGAGAACAATGACTGCCATTGGTATTCAAAAAATACTTTTTGTAGGGAGGGTATAGCTCAAGTGGTACAGCACATGCTTAGCATACATAAGATCCTGGATTCAATCCCCAGTACCTCCTCTAAAAATAAATAAATAAATAAACCTAACTACCCCCCCCCAATTTTTTTAAATACTTTTTGTTTTCTAATTAAGTTTTGTTAGAAATATTATATCCCCCCAAAAAAATAATTCTTAGAGTTTAATTTTTAATTGGTTAATAAT